GTAAACATTGCGGGGGCAGTTGGTGAAGAACCTATCCCTCATTAATTTCTTAATTTGGGTAGATGGAACGAAGGGCAAGTGAGGGAGAGAAAGGTAGGGATTGGCGAGAGAGAGAGGGAGAAAGAATGTGAGAGATGGGGAGACCGGGTGAACAGGGGGACTCGTATCACCACAGGCAGAGTAGAAGAGAGGGAGCAAGGAAGGGATGGTTGAAAAAACAAGGGGAGGAAGATGCTATTGCTGCTGCTTTTTTTAATAGATGTCAGATATTCAATCCAAGGGTTTTGTCAGTAGCTCTCTTGCGCGATAGGCAATGTGGACCTATCACCCCTTTCCAAAACACACACACACACACACACACACACACACACACACACACACACACACACTACAAACTACACACCACACACCACAAACTACACACCACACACTACACACTACACACCACACACCTCAAATCAAACCACAAACTACCACAAACACCACCACACACACCAAACACTCCAACTCCCACCACACAATACACAACAACACACCTCACCACACCACCACCACAAACTACACACCACACAACACACCACACACCACACACTATACACCAACACACACCACAAACTACACCACAACACACAACACAAAACCAACACCAACCACACACACACTACACACCACACACCTCACACACACACCACAAACTACACACTACACACCACACACCTCACACCACAAACTACACACACACCACACACCACACACTACACACCACACACCTCACACACACACCACAAACTACACACCACACACTACCACACCACACCACACACTACACACCACACACCTCACACACACACCACAAATTACATACCACACACTACACACTACCACAGCACATACTACACACTACACACCACACACGTCACACACACACCACAAACTACACGCCACACTACCCAGTCTTGCTCCTTGTTCTTTTTCTATACCAACTTATTAATATTTCATAACAAGAAACATAAATATTAATTTTAATGGTTTCACACAGTAGTTATTACCGGTATTTCTTACAAAACATTGAAATAAAATACTCATTATAATTTCTGCATAACCAAACCCTGAAATACTCTCATATACTCTCAGCCAAACAGACACATAAACAAACACAAACACTCAGGATGATGTGCACTGCCAATAAACTATTTCATTTTTTAATCAGAACAATGCCTTCTACATGCGTCTCACTTCATCTTCTTTGTTGATTGATTATCTTTCCAAAGATGCTACAGTAGCATTCCTATGTCCAAGAGTTGAACACTTCAACCTTTGATATAGGCCTATGTGCGAGACACAATACGGTAGACATCAGCCTCTTGTATTTATTTGCAGCACTTGCTATACAATTCAGTTTAGTCAAAGAAGAAAGGTGACTTGTCAGATAAAGTCATGGAAAGCAGCCATTATGATTCTATAATACTCTTTAAGGGACTGTTACACATTGTGTGATACGTGAGGTATGAGGTGTATGCATTTGACATGCTCTGATCTCTGAAAGACTGATATTAAAGCAAACTCTCAAATGAGTCATTTCCCTTTGTCTTTCCGCTGAAGTGTGGGAATATAAAAAGCACAAAGAGCCCTTCAGCCTTCAAAAGGAGAGGAAAGCGTCCTTGTTACGATTCTGGATCCAGAGTCAGACACTTGAAGGCAATCTTTCTCAGCTGTAACTCAACGCTGTCACTATTATCGAAAGCTGTCACCTCACAGTGTCATAAGTGATGGAGAGAGACATCCTAAAAAAGCAACTGTCGAGATTTACAACTACAATACATGTACTGTGACTTACACAAAGAAGAAACAAGCTGAAGAAAGCCAGGTATAAGTTAGGCTTCTCTTTTCAACTGACATCTGATTCATCTAGACTGATCCAGTAAATGACTCACTTACCAATGAGAGGGCAACACAACTCTCCATTCACATCAACTCCATATCATACAAATCCTATTAGTTAGATAGACATTCTGGTCGCTAAGTGGAGCCAACATGAAACCACACACACAACACCCCTAGACTTATTTAACTCTGGCTGAGAGTGGCGGGTACCGTGTTGAGAATGAGCTTAATTAATGTAGCAGTAAAACACAAACCTCCCTGCTCATGCCCTTTCAGCTGCTACTGCTCAGTATTAGTTCCACTTCAGAGGCCCCATGCTTAGGAACAAGAACAAGCAGCGCCTCTAATGACAGACGTCCCCCTTCTCTCCACCACTGGTCTCGGGTCACTGCCCCCACCCCTCTAGGGATAGGAAGAGTAGAGAGGGGTGTCTACCCGTTAAAGGACCTTGTTAACAGCCTGCTCTAGAAACAAACCCCAGACTCACTTCATTAGCAGGGACAAGTTAGAAGATGTGCCTTAGTTTGGAATAGTTTAAAACCTGAGGAGAGAAAAGTATTCTCTCAGGGGTTGGAGTGTGTGAGCAGAATGGCAGAGGGAAGTGACTTCAGAAAAGCGTTCGTTCTCCAAAATGTTGTTTATTTTTGGGGTCCAAACATTGCAGTCATGTTTATCTCTGAGTTAGGGGACTGTCTGTTTCCTGCATAAACAAACGGCATTGTTTAGGGTAATACAATTACTAGGGAGGATTTGATTTTTTACATATTAAGACTCTTTAATTCAATGGAAAAAGACAAAAAATGTACATAGACAAAAATGTTTATTTACACAACATAGGGAAAATATAACTCTTGGTTCCAAATAGTAAGGGTCACGGAAAGGTCCTGATGACCCAATGAAATGCGATAAAGGAGACATTGAACTCGTGAAATGGCACTGTGAAAAGGACACAAGGTTTCACAGAGCTAGATGAGAGAGGAGTGAGTGCTGTCACCTTTGGGTACTATCGGGATCAGTGTCTCTGGGTTAACAGTCCACTCCGTTAGTTGACATGCAATTGTCAAATAGGACTTAAGGACAGAAGACTGGGTAGTCCAGGTGAGACATTCTAATGGAAACCCTTTGTCCAACGTTGGCCTTCCATTCCAAACTATAAAGTGAATGTAAAATGAGCTGACTAAACAGTTATCGAAATGACTCAAAACATGGCAAAATACAAAAGTGAGAAATCAACATGAACACATAAAAAATACAAATAGAAACATGGATTTGATCCCATAAGGATTTTCCAGTGAAATGAAGCAACTGCCATGTAAATGCGTGGCGATGGAGTATTTGGGTACTACAAAATACATCTGTACACATAAGAGTTGATACAGTATATTGTATCATATTCAAGCTAGATAAACAAAAGGAATAGCATATTAAATAAAAGTGTGAAAAGGTGCTATGAATGTTTTATGCGATCCAGCCATTGACATGAAGGCTATAAATATTGTATGCATAGAGTTGAATCCCTCTTTGAAGTCTTGTGAGAGCTAAGACAGAGGAAGAAAGGGAGGGGAGTCGGTAATTAATGGTGGAAATGCTCTTTGACAGATTATTCTATTAAAGTAGGAGGAGGTTCAACCAAACACAGCTAACCTCTAACAGCAGTGGTCTCCACCTATCAATGACAAGAACATTCTCACCTGAAGGCCTACTTCCACTTGACAAACACGCTTACTGGGAGCCAATCACATGATGAAAAAACCTGCATGCTCTGTATAATGCTACAGAGTTTGCACATTGTCTAATAATATTGAATGGTAATAACTAGCAAAGTGCTAGTTTCTAATGATTGATTAAAAACCTGAAGACATAAGTGTGGATCTCCAAAATACGGAAGTGTCACACATACTATCGCTATATCGACCACAGACAAGTTTAGATCAGACAAAACGAGCCACTTTGTAGAAAACAGGCAAATTATCCTTATTTCTACAAATAAATAAAACATCTGAAAAGATCTGTCTCTCGAGTCAAGTGTTGACAATGGGCAGAGGATTCCGGGTAAAACTCTGGCCCTCTCATCAAGTGTTGAGAGCTGAGAGCCGGGCCACTTCCTAACACAGGGCTATCCCCAGAGCAGCCTCACCCCTCTGCCTGGCCGGGGATGTGCATGGGGATATGTAAGGGATGAGAGGACATGATAGAGAGCAGGGCTGCTACTAGCCCAGTCTCTCAGGTCCAACTCCATCTTTGATCACTGGCCACTGACCTTTATGTCTCTGAGAAAGGGGGAAGGCGTGAGAGGGGGGGGACTGGGTGGGGGAGAGCACACCAACGAGTGCACATCCTTCCCCATGGAACCTTGTACTCCCCAAAATAAAAACGGGTTAATTGTATTTAACAATATGCACTCTAACCCCCCCCGCTTGATTAGAATAAGTTTCACATCTGCCTGCCGCCCGGCTCTGTCCCTCATTACTATAGAATCTCATTACAATCAGCCCCCATGGGAGACACGCGTCAGTTTAAAAAAAACACTTTCTATCCCTCTCTTCCTGCCTAGCGCTCCCCCTCTCTCTCCGTCTACAGTAGCGGAAGTCCTCATCTAAGAGAATGACAGTCTTCGTCTTCTCCTACACGCAGCATGGAAATTGTTTTACACTGCCAATTAAAATAACAGATACCGGTACATTTAGATTGTTTCCTCTCAGTCAGTGAGGATATGTATATGGCAGAAATAGACCAAAATAGGGCTGACACTAAGTCCCCCCCCCCCCCCCCACCCCTTGTTTTTGCCTAACAGAATAACACACACGTGTTTGGAAATGCAGTCAATGCACTCATGAGAGAAAAGGTTATATCTATCTCCACACACTCAACTTTCTCTCATTAAACCATAGTCATATCAGCGGGGTTTCAAATGTATATTCAAAACCTATATTTAAAAAATGATAAGGTTATGTGGTGTAATTCATTTTAAATATATAAATGATGCTTGGCAATAAGTAACAGGTAAAAACAAGGAATAGTGGTGTCAGTTGTGAAAATTGTCAGTCTAGTCCGAGCAGGCACACAAATGCTGCAGGCAATGTAACCTCTGTTCTCCACAAGCATGTCCTATAGTCCTAGAGGAGTGGAGAGTCGCAGAATGTACAAGGACCCTGCAGTATCCTCTTGATCCAGTCTGGGTCTGCAGTGAGAAGGAGGAAAATAAATAAGCCACCATTGAATATTTTATCACAATCATCTGTTCAATCACAATCATCTGCTCCACTATTTGAGCAGTAAACAGACAACAGCTTGATCACTCAGTAATGTTAAGCTTATTGAAAATCGTTTATGCAGACAGTCTGTGACAATTAGTGGGAAAAGGTTTTGAAGAAAAAAAAAGCACTTTCTTTTATATTGTCAATGCTATATAAGGAGATATGCTGATCAGAGAGCAGGATGAGAGAGAGCCGACAGTGAATAACAGCCCTGGGAGAGAGAGAAGAGAGTGGAGTGAGAGAGGTAGAGAGATGGAAAGTGGCGCTAGCTGCTTACCCTCAGGCACTGGCAGTCTAGCAATGCTATCCTGCAGCAGGCAGCGTCTGTACGTGAGTGTCTGGCACGCCTGGTAGGATAACACACACCTGAAAGAGACGGGCACGCTTCAGACAGGCACTGACACTGAGTGGGAGGGATATCAATAGTCTAAAGTGGCTTCCTTTGCTCATCTCCTTCCCTTCATTTGCAATGACTGGAAAGAACGGAATATGTGAAAGCGAATTCCCGGTAGACATCATTATTCAAGACATCCCTAGGACAGGGGTTCCCAAACTTTTTTGGCCCACGACCCCATTTTCATATCAAAACTTTTTCACAACCTCACCATGTACAATTTTTTAAAAATGTAAATCAGGCCAATGTTAACTTTTTTTAATTGGGGCTATGACAGTCTATTACAAATCAGTCTGAAAGTATTTCATTCTGAAGTAGGTATGGTTTGAAGTGACTGAAATGCATCAAAAAGTTATAGGGACGTTCAGAAGATCATCAGGCAATAATTCTGTTTGAAATTCTGTGTAGAAAATAATATCAATGATGATGTTCTTTACCCCCCCAGTCTGATTAGTGCCTGGTCTTGCCCACTGGTCTTGCCCACGCCATTATAAATGAGTCCAACGCAGCTTGTGGGCATTTTATAGGAAAACAGAAGACACATGTTCCTGATAGTATTTTCTTTCAGTGATGGGGTCATAATATTTTGTAGCTTAAACCACACAAAAGATAGCCACATTTGTAGGAAGAAAACATAAACCGCTCTGTTTATTACAACCGCATCTAGTGGCTACCACAGGTAGGAGGTTACGGCAAAAATACTCCCCCCCCCCCCCCGAGTTTCTCTCACGACTGTTTTCAAATCAGGCGACCCCTAGTTTGGGAAATGCTGCCCTAGGAGATGGGGACAGGAAGTCACCTTAGACTATTGAGATGTGCTGTTGGACTTAGAGGCTGCATTCAGGAGGGAATCGAGAATACTTTTCTGGTCCACTTCTGTCTCACTAACAGGAGAAGCACTGAGCTGTTGCTTTCAGCAAGTAGCCTAACAGTTTCCCACAACTGTCCACCAGGGGCAGCACATATCATCCAACTACTGAGAGGAATGGGGGGATAGAGGGGGGGAGGGGTGCAGTACACGGGTAAATATCAAAAGGTTGGAGGCTTCATTACTGTTCTGTGAAAATAAATAAACAGTTAAAAATGGCATTTGGCATTAAGATGCTGTGTGGGAAGTCTCTCGTCAGTGTCAGCCCAGCGTCTAGGAACCTCTGGAGACTTCTCCTTCTGCTTAGAGTTGTTTAGAATTCAGAGGTTTATGCTCCCTTGTTTAGACAGTGGCAATCTCATAAAGCTTTTTAAAAAAAACTTTGTAAAACTAGGGGTGATGTGATGCCATTCATCAGTCAATGAAATTGACTAATGACTAATTTTTATGAAAATGCTGTCTGCAACATGAAAGCCAACTGACTTAGGAAGGCAACTTTGGCATAAAAATTAGGCTAGTATAGCAAAAAATCCTGGATTTAGATTACGGGAATCGGGTGACTGGTGGTTGATGCAAATAAGGTTGATGACACTTTACCTGAGCCACATGTGTCCATTGGAGCAGATAGCCTGTTTGCGGTCTGTGAAGGGCAGCACCTCCTTACACAGACTACAGTACTCTGGGAACGTCTGCTTGTTCATCTTCTTCTGGATGTGACCTATCAGGACCTAGGGTACAGAGAGCAAGATGTGAGAGGTGCTGAATAATGCACAAAAACAGGGTTAGCCTAATGTTGAAACAGTTGAATATTGCTCTGGTAATAGATCATAGAAAAGGTGTAGGTAGCCTAGTCCAACCTTGGCAGCCCTGTCCTCGTACGTAGGGTCACTGGTGAGGAAGTCACAGACCCCCCTAGTGGGGATACTGGTGTTCTCTGTGATCCAGGTGTGAAGGTACACCTCCCCCAGAACCCTCTTCATGTGCTCCCTGGTCAGGTGGGCCTCTACTGCCTCGATCCACGCTATCACCTCTCCCATTTTCTCCTCCAACGCCCGGGCTTCTGGGTCCTGTAGCTTCGACACCTCCTCCTCCTCTTCCCCTCCTCCACCCCCCTCCTCGTCCCCCACAAACACCTTGGAGTCTTCATGTGTGGGGCGACAGCGTGCCTCCATGGGGGCCTTCTGTAGGGACTGGTAGAGCACGCGCACCAGGAAGAGTTTTAACCTCCACAGGTAGGGGGAGCCCGTGTTGTGTACCTTGTTGTCCAGCTCCTCCTGCAGCAGAGCAGGGATGCATTTGTCCTTCAGCACCCTCCAGCGCACCAGGTCCAGCAGGTCAGTCTGTTTGAACAGGCTCTGGACCTGGGACTCCAGCAGCTCTGCAGCCGCGTCGATGGGCGTCTTCAGGGTCACAAACTGGACCTGGTAGGGCCTGGAGTCTGGGTGCTGACCATTGGTCATCCCTGCAGTACTGACCAGGGCCAGGTAGGCTCCGTTGGGGCTGACCGCGATGCCATGCATCCTCCGCCCTGCCATGCCTTCTGGCAGCACGATCTCCTCCTGCTTAAAGGCCACGGCCATGTCGGTAAAGATGGGCGTGAGCTTCTTGACCGTCCCGTCCACGGAACAGGTGTAGATGGAGCCCCCCTGGCGGCTGGCTGTCATGGAGACGATGGGGGTGGAGTGCAGGCCCGTCACGTGTGAGTTGTGCACGTTGAGGCCCGCCTTAGAGATGAGCAGCAGGCACCAGAAGAGGTAGGAGCCCCTGGCCGCCACCACCAGGCTACAGTTACAGTTCTGTTTGGGGTGGAACAGGGAGATACACTTGATGTTGTGTACGGGGATCTGGTCCGACTCCTGCCAGAGGACCACGGGCTGGCGCAGGGTGAAGTAGCCCTTCACAGCCTTCAGGTTGACGGGCAGGATCTTGACAGGCCCCACCGCGCTGCCCACGATCAGGCCGCTCATCTTGCGCCCGCTGTGCTCGTACTCCCACCAGGCCAGCACGCTGGGGGACGACACCCCAGACTGGATGGTGTTACAGGACAACACTGAATCCTTCCCCAGCATGGGCAGGCAGAACTGCCACACCACCAGGTCTCCGTTCTCCATCAGCACGGCCAGCAGCACCGTCCCCACGTCCTTCCACTTGTTGTTGGTCTGGATGTGCTGCGTGGTGCACACACTGGACCACTCCATCCGTACAGGGGTCTGCATGCGGTAGCGTCTCTGAAGCTCAGCCAGGTCCAAGAGGTTATCCTTGGGGGGCTCCCCACCCTGCACTGAGTAGCCTCTGCTCTCCAGGCTCTCCCCATACAGCTGGGTCAGGTCTGCCACCACTGTCCACTGTAGACGCTTGGTGCTGCTGTGGACGGTCAGCTGGTGGTCCAGGGTGAGGGAGGCCAGCAGGCTGAGGCCGTTGGCATCACAGCCCAGGGGGGACCAGCTGGTGTACATGATGCCCTTATGGACGGCCAATGTGGGGTTGAACACTCTGTCCAGCATGAAGGACTGGCTCACTGAAGGGTCACTGGAGCTGGAGAACTTGTCTTTGGCCCTCAACAGTTCCTCCGCTGGACCCACCTGGACACATAAAAACAGTTACCTCTTAAAGTAGGTATCTGAATGTATTTAGTATAACATACTGAGAAAACAAAAACGACTTTCAGATCATATCTAAATCGCAAAGTAAGTTCACTTTTGACAGCAGTTCATCAACCTAGTTTGCTAGCCTAAATATGTTTTACAATGGGATAAATGGTTAACTGCTGCTAGCAGCTAAAAACAAATAGGCAGCAGGCATCAGCTGTAGTTCTGGCTATATCAGTCAGCTGGAGCCCTCCCAGTTAAAAACAACAACGTCACAACTTCAATTTGTGCATGCGCGGTTTTGAGGTGTGGAATGAACGCCAAAGTAAGCAAGTTTGCTAGCTACATGTGCTCTAGATTCACCTTCAATTCACAGACTTTGTCCGGCACGGGGATGGAGGTCCGATGCAGCACCAAGTCTTGGTTGTTGCCGTGAACATCGCACAATACCTCCATCAAAGAAATGCCACTTGCAGTAGAGGCCGAGAGTCGGTGGTCCTCAGACCACGTGAGCGGCTCCAAGCCGCTGACCGGACTCAAGAGCTTTATTACCGGATCCCTCTTCACAACTGGACCGAGTGCTGCCCAGGGATCATTCTCCGGTTCGGCTTCGGTAAGATGTCCTGCCTCTACCCCGTCCGTAGCACGAGTTGGGCTGCAAGCAGCCATTTTCCATGTAAAAAATAAAACAACGCGTCACTACGGCGGAGGAGGAGGGACATACCACAAGGAAAAACATCATCAAAGCCTCTCGGGTTGCAGTATAGAGATCTGGGTTGAGATGACCGCATGACTGACTGTCTGTGCTTGGCAAAAAGAAAAACACTAGCTCGATTACCTCCCAGCTAATAACAAACATTCCCACAACTTTAGAGAACTTTCCCTTAAGAGTCTCATTAGGTGATTAACTAACTTTTTCATAGGATTGTTCCGGTGTTGTGCAAGGAATGTTTCCAAGAGACCATTCCTTTAACGTCAAATATAATTTACCCAGAACGTGGTTACCATGTTCTCAGAATTTAAGATATTAATGTTCTAGACACATTTCATAGGAAAGTTGTAAGAACATTCATGTGTCTGTGGATTACATTGTGCATGTTCAGTTAATCAGTCATTTATTCATCATGTCCTCACCTGGGATTTGAACTCACAACCTCTTGGTTCACGGTAATCCGATTTTCCTGCTTGCTACACCACCATGTCCATGTATTATTTCAGCAATTTAAAGGCTTTCTGGGTATTTGTCTAATGTTGGTGGGCCATATTAACCTGTTTTAATGATAGTCCTGAATCCCTATGATCAATAAAATATTTTCTTGTGTACTTTCAACAGAGCTGAGATTTACTTCAAAGTGCATTCACAATATTGCTTACACCTATCAAGTTGTTTCAGATCTACACAAGTCCCTAGGGAGGAGGGGTTAGGATTTCTTCTGGAAAGGGCCTAATTATACTGGCCCAATAAACACATGCCCTGGAGATATCCATTATCGGAACAGTGGTTAGGGCCTTCGTCATTGGTGCTGGTGGCTTGGGTTGGAGACTTGCTAGGTGAATCACCCTACTGTCACATTCTTAGCAGTGTATGTTAATGTCATTATTTGGTAACAGTTATGACACTTATCTGATATATTTAAAATGAGTTTCTCATTGAAAGATGGGAATCTGTAGGATTATGCATTGAGCACGAATTATGACCACATTTCTACTACCTCTCATAAATGATCAGTATTTATTAATTCTATTTAGCTGAGCATCTCTCCATTATCTTCTTGAAATCCACACAACATACCATCTACAATACCAGTAAAAAGTTTGGACACACCTACTCATTCCAGGGTTTTTCTTTAAATTTACTATTTTCTACATTGTAGAATAATAGTGAAGACATCAAAACTATGAAATAACACATATGGAATCATGTAGTAACCAAAAAAGTGTTAAACAAATCTAAATATATTTTATATTTGAGATTCTTCAAAGTAGCCACCCTTTGCCTTGATGACAGCTTTGCACACTCTTGGCATTCTCTCAACCAGCTTCATGTGGTAGTCACCTGGAATGCATTTCAATTAACAGGTGTGCCTTGTTAAAAGTTAATGTGTGGAATTTCTTTCCTTCTTAATGCATTTGAGCCAATCAGTTGTGTTGTGACAAGGTAGGGGGGGGTATACAGAAGATAGACATATTTGGTAAAAGACCAAGTCCATATTATGGCAAGAACAGCTCAAATAAGCAAAGAGAAATGACAGTGCATCATTACTTTAAGACATGAAGGTCAGTCAATCCGGAAAATTTCAAGAACTTTGAAAGCTTCTTCAAGTGCAGTCGCAAAAACCATCAAGCGCTATGATGAAACTGGCTCTCATGATGACCGCCACAGGAAACGGAGACCCAGAGTTACCTCTGCTGCAGAGGATAAGTTCATTAGAGTTACCAGCCTCAGAAATCGGCAATTAACTGCACCTCAGATTGCAGCCCAAATAAATGCTTCATAGAGTTCAAGTAACAGACACATCTCAACATCAACTGTTCAGAGGAGACTGCGTGAATCAGGCCTTCATGGATGAATTGCTGCAGAGAAACCACTACTAAAGGACAACAATAATAAGAAGAGGCTTGCTTGGGCCAAGAAACATGAGCAATGGACATTAGACCAGTGGAAATCTGTCCTTTGGTCTGATGAGTCCAAATTTGAGATTTCTGGTTGCAACTGCCATGTCTTTGTGAGACGCATAGTAGGTGAACGGATGATCTCTGCATGTGTGGTTCCCACCGTGAAGCATGGAGGAGGAGGTGTGATGGTGTGGGGGTGCTTTGCTGGTGACACTGTTGGTGATTTATTTAGAATTCAAGGCACACTTAACCAGCATGGCTACCACAGCTTTCTGCAGCAATACGCCATCCCATATGGTTTGGGCTTAGTGGGACTATCATTTGTTTCTCAACAGGACAATGACCCAACACACCTCCAGGCTGTGTAAGGGGTATTTTACCAAGAAGCAGAGCGATGGAGTGCTGCATCAGATGACCTGGCCTCCACAATCCCCCGACCTCAACCCAATTGAGATGGTTTGGGATGAGTCGGACGGCAGAGTGAAGGAAAAGCAGCCAACAAGTGCTCAGCATATGTGGGAACTCCTTCAAGACTGTTGGAAAAACATTACAGGTGACTACCTCATGAAGCTGGTTAAGAGAATGCCAAGAGTGTGCAAAGCTGTCATCAAGGCAAAGGATGACTACTTTGAAGAATCTCAAATATAAAATATATTTAGATTTGTTTAACACTTTTTTGGTTACTACATGATTCCATATGTGTTATTTCATAGTTGTGATGTCTTCACTATTATTCTACAATGTAGAAAATAGTAAAAATAAAGAAAAACCCTTGAATGAGTAGGTGTGTCCAAACATTTGACTGGTACTGTATATCATTAAAAAGTTCAAGAATGCATGTAGCAACAGCATATTGCCCCTTTTACATATTGTGATTTCTGTGAATTGTCCCTAGTGAATCTGTTGCAATTTTTATGTTTTTCCACATTAGAACTTGGAGATGGAACTCTGTTGTGTATTGTTTTGGTTTAACTGGAATAATTATTGCTTAAATGGCAAATGTGAGAAAGTACAGACATGCTACTGTAAATATGGCCACCATGTTCTGGGTATGTTTCTATCAGAAGCAGCACTTCCATCTGGGCCATGTTTTGGCAACAAATTAGGAATGTTACAGATAGAAATGCAATGACGAGCTCATGTGATTCCTAATCAAAGATACATATTTGTTCCATATGATATACTGTATGTGGTGTTGATTTCAAAAAGATGATAGAGTTCCCTTTGAGATTCTCAGCTATCTAGAATTCGACCTATTCCCATCTTTCACTAGCCAGGTTTCCATCCAATTGGCGACATATTTTCATGCAAATATTCCAAAAAGTGGTGTGTTTCCACTAGTGGAGGCTGCTGAGGGGATGACGGCTCATAATAATGGCTGGAATGGAGTCAATGGAGTGGTATCAACCACATGGACCACGTGTTTGATACCATTCCATTAACTCCATTCCGGACATTATTATGAGCCGTCCTCCCCTCAGCAGCCTCCACTGGTTGCCACCAAACTGAATTGTTGCGGATAAAAATCAGTGCATGATGACATAGTGCACACAAAATGTACTTTTCGTTTATGTTTTCATGTACCGAATAACAATCTAATGTTCAATGTGTTTCCATCGCATTTTCAACTATACCTATAGTTTTGTCACAAAAACTGTTGCTTTAAATAGCAAATGTGCCTACTCTGCTCTTGGCACGTGCGTTCGAGACAACAGCTGGCAGATACAGTGTGAGTAGGCTCTGCGGGTAGGTCAGCCTACAACACATGATGGGATTATTATGGATAAGAGGGATACTATTTTTATTTGTCAAACGGCAGTCAAGCATCGATCTTATCATGTCACCAGAATAAGACCCTCAGCATTTATTGGAAATGAGCATCAAGCTCATACCGAGCACTTTCACCACCATGTGAAATTCATCATAATTTATTTCATCTGTAGCTTTAATAAACTGCATGGTTTCCTGAGTCACAGGGGGAGGACCACACACTATGTCATGGCGTGACGCAAAGTTTACTTCGATATGATGATTATTATATCAATATTTGCGCATAAAGGCGTTTCCACCGCCATTTCTCGCATTAATTCATTTTACAGACACAAAAAGACCCCACCTCGTCTAGCGTATTTTGTTTTGTCAACATTTGGAAAGTTAACAGAAACATTTTCTGTTTCCATCAGGCCTGTCATGACATTTTTACTTTACTCGCATAAAAAGGTTGGATGGAAACCTGGTTACTAATCACGTTTCCATCCAACCATTTCCTGCAGATGAATTATCTGACGCATGAAAAAGGTCACAACCGGGCTGATGGAAACAGTACAATTTTATATATGCCAACAGACAATTTGTTTGTTCAAAAAATGGTGGGATCTTTTTGTGTCCGTAAAATTAATTTTGTGAAAAATGGCGGTGGAAAAGCCTTTATGCGCAAATATTTATATAACCATCATATCGAAGTAAACTTGGAGTCACGAGATGATATGTTGTGTGGTCCTCCCACTACGACTCGGGAAAGCATGCAGTTTATTAGGCTTCAGATTAAATAATTTATTATGAACTTCACAGGGTGGTGAATGTGCAAGGTTATGAGCTTGATGCGCCTTTCCAATAAATATCGAGGGTCTTATTCTGGTGACATGATGATCGAAAATTGGCTGTCATTTTACAAATATAAATAATATAATCCATAATAATCTCATAATGCAAGTAGCCAACCCGCACTGTATCTGCGAGCTGTTGGCTAGAGCACATGTGCCAAGACCAGAGTGGGCACATTTGCTATATAATGCAACAGTTTTTGTGACAAAACCATCAGTAGAGTTGAAAACCCATTTAGCTTGTACTTTTCATTCAGGACATGGACATTTTACAGCAAAAGTTATTTTTATGTGCACTATGTCATCACGCACAGCCTTTTATCAGCAAAAAGTACACTATATATAGAAAAGTATGTGGACACCCTTTCGAATGAATGGATTCGGCTATTTCAGCCACACCCGTTGCTGACAGGTGTATAAAATCAGGCACACAGCCATGCAATCACCATAGACAAACATTGGCAGTA